GCCCCAGAAAGCGCCCACGAGAGTCCGAGAGGCCTCCACGACAGCCCAAGAGCGCTCCAAGACGCCCAAGATGGCCCCAAGACGTCCCAAAAGGCCCCAAAGAAGTCCCAAGAGCGCTCCCAGAGAACCCCCATGAAGGCCCAAGGAGGAAACACTCATTGGTTCCCTTGTGTTGTTATGTGCGTTCCTCATTCTCGCGGTTTCGGGCTCCCGACGCCCCAAGGTGGCCCCAGAGGCCCCCAAGACCGCCCCAAGACGGCCCCCTGAAAGGGCCCCAAGACAGTCCAAGAGGGCACCAAAACGGCCCAAAGGCGCCCAAGATCGCCCAAGAGGGCCCTAAGGCAGCCCCAAGAGGGGGAACACGAACCGACAATTCGAGCCTTCCGCCCCGAGAGGCCCCCAGGAGGCCCCACGAGGACCCCAAAAAAGCCCAAGAGGCCCCTTGGAGGCCCACGGGGCCCCCAGGAGGCCCAAAAAGATGCCCCAAGAAGCCCGACGGCCCTCAAGAGGCCGCAAACCTGCCCCCAAGAGGCCAGGGAGAGGCCTCCCCCCGACGATATCCAAACGACCATCCACGAGGCCTCTAACCCACAACCCAGACACAGTGGTGGGGTGGGCCGAAGGCCACTTTGTGTGTATCTATATACCTATATATATATATATATATATATATATATATATATATATATACACACACGCGGCATACAAGCGCAGTCCCTTGCAGTTGCGGATCCGAATGAGGGGCACCCCAAAGGGGACACTCAATGTGTTCACGAAACAGTCAGCAGCCAAACCCACGCGCCACAAGGACGAACAACATGGCGCACGTACCGCGCTGCGCAAAAGGAGCTCACAGCTTCATTCCAGCCGTGTGCTGGGATCGTGGGCAGTTGCACGACTGCGAGCTTCAGAACCAGCGCGTACACATGTCGCGTGGTTGTGCACCTCGGCGGGCCATGCCGTTCGAGGTCTGCCTATCTCCCGCCTCCCGAAGGGGGGGGTATTCTCGAGAGCCAGTGCAAAGCGGCCCGCCGCTGGCGCCGAACTGCAATGCGTCACGGTGTTCGGTGGTGGTCTCGGGAACAATGCGTATGATGGAGACCATTGCGCCATGTTCGATGTGTTCAAGGCCGCCGCGCAGGAGAGGGCGCTGATGTTCTCGAGACATGTGCGTAAAGTGGATCGGCATGCCGCGGGCGCCGATCGACTGGAGGCAACGCCGCGACCAGGACGCGGGGAGAGACGGCGATGGCAAGCACACGAGACATCCTGCCATAACAGACTGGCTTGCCGACGATCTCTTAGCTGCATGCAATGTCATAAGGTTCCTGCGATTCCACAAGGCCATCGGAGGATGAGAAATTCCGTTGGACGCGTGTTACCAGGCTGATGTCTTAACTGATGCACCCGCTGTACGCACTCAGAGACAGTGCAAGACCGCTCGGACTAGGCAGCTGCGGATACCCTGCCCCCCCATGTATGCAGAATAGATCTGCCAATGGTACGTCAATTTCGGCCATGCCAGTGTGGCCGAATATCGGACAACTAATTGGATCTGCTTCGCGCTGACATATTGCCCCGCCCCAGCACTTGCAGCCTACGACGACGCTGGTGATCCGCCTCTTCCCTCTTGGATCCCTGCATCCATATCTTGTTTCCTGCTCCTCCGTCTGTCCATATTATTTCAATTCTCTTCCTCCTCTGATCGATCCCCGTCCTCCAGCCGATCCCCCTCTAAATCATCCCTCCTCCTCCTCCTCCTCCTCCTCCTCCTCCTCCTCCTCCTCCTCCTCCTCCCCCTTCCGCATGGTTCCACCATCCTATTCCTCACAGCTCCCTCCTCCTCGTCATCCTGCATCCCTCCCTCCCTCCCTCTCCCCTCTTCGCTCCCCCATCTTGCAGTTCCTTCTCGTCTAACTTGGAGGCTTGACTGCAGCGTAAGGGGTGTCGGCGGGTCTGGTGCCCCCAACATCGCATGGTAATATAACTTGCGTGTGACACTCGGAAGGTGTGTGAGGATCGTCTACCTGTCTCACTGCTTTGGGGGGGCTGCCTTGGGCAGGTGCTGGACGCTGGACCACCTCGTAGCCAGCTTGGGGTCGCCTTGGAGATGCACCTCTTCGTCCCTCGTCCCCTCCCCCACCACCCTTAGGGCTTGCCCTGCCGAAGGGCTCCCCCACTCAAGCCGCCGCCAATCACGTTTTGGCAGCGCGCGACTTGGGGCAGGGCGAGGTTGGCGGCCTCTTCAGCAGGACCCCCGCTCCTCTCGCTGATCCCCAGAGCGCGTGTGTGTTAGCGCCAACGTGCGCTTGTCAACCGGAGCCTTTCAACACGACGCAGGCAACGCCATGAGGGCTGACACACGCTGCACGGTACGCGCTGCTGGTGGAGCTGCAAGGGGCAAAGCGATACCCATGCCCCCCGACCCTCGCGAGCTGCTTGGAACTCGGAACTCTGCCCTCCCAGAGGTGAAGATCTCGGGGCGACCCCCCTTCTGCGCAAGAGGCCCCTTGCCTTCTTGGGAGGCCGCCCCCCGCGCCCTGGCCTCCCTGTGCGCGCCGCCGGAAGGCGGCCTTCTGAGAAGGCAGGGTGCCTCCCTTGAATTGAAGGGCTCAGAGGCTTCGACAAGGGCGCTGACGACCACCAGGGTCGCAACCTCCAGCGAAGAGGCCACGATGCTCCCCGAGCTGGGGGTAGGGGATGCCTCGAGTGAGAGGGGGCGGGAACCACACCACCAGGGGGACCCTCTCTGGCGCCTCGCGCTGGTGGCGGTGTCGCGCCTCGAAGGGTGCGGCCTGGACCAACCCACGCCCCGACCACTGCCAGATCCCACCCCGCCGCCGACCTGATACGAAGCCAGGATCTGGACAACATCGGATCGGGACCAATCAAAAGATCTCTGATAACCCGCGGGCCTTGATGATGAATCGGGCGCCGCGGCCGTTCCAGAGCGCCCCGGAACGCTTTGAGAGCGCTCTGGAGCAGTTCATCCCGATCCTGGGAATGCCTGACGACCTTCCGGGCAACGCGAGTTGAGACAATGGCAGCTCAAAATCGGTCCCCGGACCCCTCCCAATGTGCAAGCGCACCAGCTGGCGACGAGTGGCTCACCCGAAGGCCAACTACCGCTGTCGCAACTCGCCCCCCTCTGAGACCTCCATGCTGGAAGCCCGACGTCGGCTGGACGATGGCCTCCCCTGCCGCGGTGTAAAGGAAGGAGGCCGCCGTCCGCGAAGTCTGTGCCGGCGCGGCCGACTGCGCCGACGACCACGTCGCGCGGCCCACGACCACGACGACGGAGGCAACGCCGACAGCAACGACCTCGGTGGCGGCGGTGGTGCGGCGACCAACGGCGCGCGCCGAACTGTGCCATGGCGCTGCTCCCGCCGGCGAGCTTCTCCTCGGCCCGCGGGTGCCGCCACGCCAAGTCCCGCCCGGGCGTGCCGAAAGGCCCATCCCACTCATCCCTCCCGACTGCGTTCAGTCTCTGTCTTCGCCTGACCGTGGTGTGGGGGGCGAGGGGGGAGTGCTGTTCCTGCGCAGTGTCACTCAGGGGAAAGGGGAAGGGCGAACAGGAAAGGGGCTGGGGGGCAGTGGGCGGGAAGGGGGAACAGAGGAGGGGGAGGAAGGGGAGGAGGGGGAATGAGAGGGGAGGAATGGGAATGAGAGGAAGTAGAAATCAACAAACCTCCTTCATCCCTTTGTCCCTCCCCCCTGCCCCGTGAATGTTCCTGCTTGCTCCTCCCACCACGTATCCATCCATCTGCCACCTCTTCCAAATCTGACGGTGCGTGGCAGGTTTGCCGTTCCAGCATCACGCGCCCGATCGTGGCATTGCAGAGCAAAGTGCTGAATGGAATGGCTGCCCCGACGGTATATTGGTGAGATTACCCTCTCAGCTCCCAGCTTCTCCAAAAGAGCGGAACAACTGCTGATGTTTTGTATTGGTCTTCGGATGCCCGCTTCGGGCAATGGCTTCACATCTGAACACATCACGATCTGCGACCCCGATCATGAATGGTCTTGGTCACAATGCCAATCAAAAGTTACGCAGACTGCGGACGATCCAGCACTCAGAGCTTATAGCACGCTAGAAACAATCATAATTACTCACTGCGTGGAACTTCCCAAATGTGCATCTATTTGCATGGACCTGTCCGCCGTGAAATGTCTAGACGCAAGGGTTTTCAAATATAACTGGGCTTGAAGTATAAACGGGTGTTCGTATAGTGGGAGTGTCAGTTAGTCTAGGTGTGAGAGCGTCTGAGTATGAGTGGGACTGATAATGCGTAAGTCAGCGCATGAGTGAGTCTGAGTTGGAGTGGTCTGAACGTGGGCAAGTCTGAGTGTGGGTGGGTCTGAGCACGGGTATATCGAAAATAATGAACACGAGTCTGAGTCTGAATGGATCTGACTTCGAGAGAGTCTGCATACGAGTGAATATGAGGGTGGGTGGGTTTGGGCTCGAGTGCTTCTGAATGTGTGTAAGTCTGAATGTGAATGAGCCTGAGGATGAGTATGATGAGTCTGAATCTGAATCTGGGTGGGTCCGAATATGAGTGAACATGAGCACGAGTGAGTCTAACGGTGTATGTCTACGTGTGAATGAGTCCGAGTGTGCGTAAGTCTGAGTGTGAGAGAGTCTGAGTATGAGTATGATCAGGACGAGTCTGAGTCTGAGTGAGTCTGAGCACGAGTGGGTTTGAGCATAAGTGATTCTGATACATCATCCCACTCTGGGCCCCCTAGGGTGTGAAAGCCAGCGCCTCGCCCGAGACATCCTCCCAATCTGCTCTGAACGCAGACGAGTCTGGCCAGCACAGCAGGCAAACCGCTCGAGTTGTGTTCCCTGGAGTGAGACAACCAGCGCCTCGCCCGAGACATCCTCAGAATCTGCTCCGAGAGCGGAGGATGATGAGCACCGAATCAAGCAAATCGCGAGAGAAATCCCCGCCATTGTGGCGCGAACGGAGGAGTGCAGTACCCCGGGGCGCCCCCCCGTGGGGGCGAAAATCAGCGCCTCGCCCGAAACATCCTCACATTCAACTCCAAAAACGGAGGATGTTGAGCACCGAGGCAGACAAACCGATCAAGTCATCCCCGCCATGGTGGCGCTAACGGAGGAGTTTAATACCGCCATGGCGGCTCCCCCTTGGGGGTGCTTAAACCTGCGCCTCGCTTGAGGCATCCTCAGAATTTGCTCCGCCACCATCATCATCATCATCATCATCATCATCATCATCATCATCATCAGCATCATCATCTTCATCATCAACATCATCATCACCACCACCACCACCACCGTCAGCATCAGCATCATCAGCATCATCAGCAGCAGCATCATCGACATATCGTAGCACGGCATATCATAACCTAACGACACATCGCATACCATAACATGTCACAGCATGGCATAACATAGTTTTCCATAACAATCGTAGACTGGCAGACCACACTATATCACAACAGACCATACCATGGCATACCAGTTCATACCATATCATACCATAACACAGCATTACATAACAACACATAACACATGCACTAATACACGATAACGACACATACCATACCATAACATGACATGTCACGACATAATGTATAGGATGAGGAAGGGAGGTGTCAGGAGCCGGTGTAGTCGGAGTATGCATGCTGTCTGCGTGGGGCTCCCCATCTGTGCATTTATTTGCATGGACCTGTCTGCTGTTCGTGTCTAGGCGCAACAAATAATTGGATGTAAGCGGCCCTGAGTATTGACGGCCTGAGAGCGAATCTAAGTGTCAATGAGTTGGAGCGTGAATTAGACTCAATAGTATGGGTGCGTCTCCGCGCAAGAGCCTGGGGCCTCTTGAAACCTGCCGGGGCTTCCTGCGGTCTCCTGGAGCCTCCTGGAGCATCCTGTGGCTTCTTGGGGCGCCCTGTGTCCTCCTGAGGCGTCCTGGGGCGTGTGGCCTCTTGGGGCCTCCAGGGGGCTCCTGGGGCCTCCTAGGGAGGAGTCGTTCCAAGGAGAGGCCCAGTCTATGGGAACAGACGTAACACACTTCGGATTGGAGCCAACGGAGAGGGGCAATACACTTGTTTGATCTGCGGGGCGGAAGCGAACCTCTTCCGCTGAAAGGCGGGCAATACACAGGAGCACCCGTATAACACCAAGGACTCGTGCCCCAGAGGGGGCCCAGTCTAGAGGAACGTACGTAAAACATTTAGGAGTGGATACACCGGAGAAGGACAAGCTATAGAAGCAAATGTAACGCACGAATGATTCGTGCCCTAAGAGAGGCCCAACCTATAGGGATATGCTTGGGACTACTCCTGTGGCCGTCTGAAGCCTCCTGCTCCTGGGGCCTCGTGAGGGCGCCTGGGGCCTCCTGTTGCTTCCCGCGGCCTGCTGGAGCCCCTTGGGGCCTCCTGTGGCCTCCTGATGCCTCCTGCGACCTGGTGTGGCCTCCTGGGGCCGCCTGGAGCCTGCTGGAGCCTCTTGTGGCAACACCCTGCAGAACATCCGTCCCCACGAGTCTGGCCAACAAATAAGCTCACGACTCGAGACATCTTCCAGATCTGCCCCCTCCCCCCCCTGGAGTGCAAAAAACAGGGCCTCGCTCTAGGCATCCTCACAATCTGCTCCGAACGCGGATGATGCTGAGGCCACAACACCAGCAAACCGCTCGAGGCATCCCCGCCAGCTTGGCGCGAACGAAGGAGTGCAATACTCTCTGACGGCTTCCCCTTGAGGGGTGCAGAAACCCGCGCCGCGCTCGAAGCATCCTCAGAGTTGTTCCGCCAGCATCACCACCACCACCACCACCACCATCATCATCATCATCATCATCATCATCATCATCATCATCATCATCATCATCAGCATCATCACCACCATTACCATCAGCATCAGCATCATCAACACGATCATCAGCAGCAGCAGCCGCAACAGCATCAGCATCAGCAGCATCAGCAGCATCATAATCCTCCTCACCCTCATCAATAACATCATAAAACTGAGCATAACGCATCAGATCGCAATATGGCATGTCGACGCATACCATATCATCACATACCATATCATGGCATGCCATACCATGTCATGCCATGCCATACCATAGCATACCATCACCTATCATAGCATGCCAAAATATAGCATGTCATAACATAGCATACCATGCTATGTCATGCAATTACATCGCATATCATAACACAACGTAACATAACGTACCCACCATACCGTACCAACACGTAAAATGAGGAGGAGGGAGGGATGTGTGTGTGAGGAAGTTGGCGCGGCCAGAGTAACAACAAACACCTCATCCTTCGGATATGGGGAACAATAACCCCATCATTCGGAAATGGGGGGACAAACATAACATAACATACCAGACCATGCCATAGCATATCAGGATATGCCATACCACAGCATGTCACTACATATTATAACCTAACACACATTGGCATACCATAACATACCATACCATAACATGAGGAGCCGGAGGGAGGAAGGTGTGAGCAGTCTGCGCGGTCAGAGACATGACAGAACCTCAATCCTTTGGATATGGGGAGTAACAAGAATACCATCCCCTGGCTATAGGGGACAAAAAAGAACTTTCAATCCATCGTTACAGCGAAGTGCCGCTTTGCAATGCCATTATTTGTTGTTCTGCGTTGCAGAACGGCGCTGCAATGCAATTGCACTGCGATGCTCTATACGCGTTGATTGATCCGATATGATAAATCACATTGCTGTGGGATGCTGAACAAGCCATGATCCGCCATCGGCCCCGGAACGGAGGGGCTGGGTAGAGTGACAAGCGTTGTCTGGCAGCCTTCTGTGTGATTCTAGAGGGTCCCCTCAGTCTCACGGGAGAATGTTGCATGCATCGCTTCCGAGGCACAATTCCTTATCAAAAGCCGTTGGTCCGCGCTGCCGGGGCCACGATCCCAGGTAACAAGTTGTGTCTCCGCGCTCTCGGGTTTCAAAGAACGGCCCAGCCACACAACCATGACCGCCCAGATGGCCCACGATACGACTGTGCTACGCGATGGCCTGTACTCCTGTACTGCATGCTGAAAGCCCTGCTACCTTAGAGCGCTGTCCATTACTTTGCATCGCATTGGGTTGCTTGGCATCCCACCAGTCCTTTGGGCGACAGGTTGTCTTACGAGGAACTCCTCCTCTTTCACAAACCCCCTTCCCTTCGGGGAAGGGAACCCTCCCCCTCCCCTCCCTGGGTTCTTTGTTGGGAGGGGGACCGATGTGTCAGAGGGTCCTTTTTCGGCACCTGGGAGGACCAATTTTGGACACCCCTCACGAGGGTCGTGGCACCCGAGGGGGGGAGCTACATTTAGTACCCGCTCTTTTGACAAGCCGTCTCCAAGATTGCCCCCAGAGGCCCCCCCCAGGGCACCCCAGAGGCCCTCAAGAGGGCTCCAAGAGCGCCCCAAGAAGCCCCAAGAGGCCTCCAAGAGGCAGCCGAGAGGCACCCAAGAGGCCCCCGAGCGGCCTCAGAGAGCCCAAGACGACCTCCAAGATGACTCAAGATAGCCCAAGCTGGCTTAAGATGGCTCCCAAGATGCTCCAAGAGGCCCAAAGACCGCTGCAAGACGGCTCAAGATGGCCAGGGAGCATCCCCAGGAGGCCACGAAGAAGCATATATCCTTCGACTATGCGTGTCTCTTCCTCTCTCCCCCGTCAGCTCTCATGGGCATCGTTTCTGGATGGGCTGGTGGGGGTACTTTTTTGATCGCGACCGCGAGCGGGCACCCGCACGGCATCAATAATACATTGCGCTGTATTGCACTACGTCGATCTGACCTGCGTTGCGTCACGTTGTATTGCCTCGTCTCGCGACGCATGTTGTAGTTTGAATTGGAAAAATATCCGCCACCGTGCCTTCAGGACGCAATGGAGTGCCACACAAAATTCCAAGGGATCCGGAGATTCCCGAGGATTGCCGGGGATTCCCAGGGATTGGGGATTCCCCGGGATTCCCCGGGATTCCCCAAGGTAGGGTAGCTGGCCCAAGGGGGCCCCAGAAAGGTCCAAAAGGGCCACGAATCGCCGCACGATCGGTCCATGAAGCCCAAGATGGTCTCCAGTCCAGTTGGCCGACCAAAAACTCCTGAGAGTTCCCAAAGAGGGCCGTCCCGAGACGGCTCTCACCAGAGGGCTCTGAGAGGCCAAAATCATTATTGTTGTCCATTTGGTTTTTCAATGTGCTTTGGGCCCTTCGACCTTTCGAGCTTCCAACGCTCCATGAGGCCCAAGACCGCCCCAAGACGGCCCAAGAAGCCCCCAAGAGGGCCCCTAGACGGCGCAAGAGGGCTCCAAGACGGCCCCAGAGGCACCCGACGAAAGGAGGCCCAAAGACAGCCCCAAGAAGGGCCCAAGAAGGGGAACACGAACGGAGTATCCGAGTCTTTCGCCCCAAGAGGCCCCAAGAAGGCTCCAAGGAGGCGCCAAGAGGCCCCCGAGAGGCCCGAAGAGACCCCTGAGAGGCCCTCAAGACGCCCCACGAGGTCTCAAAACGGCTCCCGAGAGGCCTCCAAACGGCCCCCAGGAGGCCCCCCCGCGACATCCCCACGAGGCCTATGACCCACAACCCAGGCACGGTGGCGGGATGGGCCGAAGGCCGTTCGATAACTAGTCAAGCGTCGAACTGATTTGGGTTGAGATGCATCGCTTCGAACTGTCCTCAGCTGCATTGGTTTGCGCCGCTTGCTAAGAACTGCTTTGCTGAACATTGCATCGCTCATCTCGCACTGCTTCACGCTCATATCCCTTGCTGGTCTGCGCTTTGCGTAGCAATGGCTTTGATTGACGATGCGTTGCGCTGCACTGATTTACTCTGCGCCCCTGTGCACTGCGTTAGCTGCTTTGCTGGGCAAGCATTGCTGCGAGCTGCGCGGCTGTCACCCGATCGGAGGCGCCATCGGCTGCACGGCGATGGATCAGGCTGCTCCGAGGGCGGCTCCGCCGCATCATCCCCCTCGGCCTCCGCCCCGGTCACGCCTGTCGCTGCGGAGGAGGGCGGCGATGAGGGGTTCAGATCATGCTATCGGTTTCTAATAAGTGTTGCCGTTCCTTGGGCGGGAAGGGGGGGCGGGGTGTGGGGAAGGATCGTTGTACTTGTAGGTTGCTACAGAGGACGATGGCGGCGGCGACGTGAGGAGGGCGCAGAGAGAGAGAGGACGAAGAGCAGGAGGACGAGGCCGCGGATGAGGCCAGAGAAGATGGAGGAAGCAGACCAGGAAAGGGGAATTGACAGAAGGGATAGAACGACGACGAAGAAGACAAGAGCGAGGGTTTGGCGAGGCAGGGACTCATGAAACAATACACCAAGGGGAAGAACACGACGACGGTGAGGGCAAGGATCACGAGCCTAGCGGGAAAGTCAGAACGCGCTCCTGAAGCATCAGGTCATCCCCCCCGCTCAACATGCCAATTTGTTGTGCTAGCATGTCAGGCCCGCGAACCGAGCCGAACCCCTCATTGCCTCCCACCTTGGTCTCACCAGGCCTCTTGGCACAGGTAGAACGGTTCTTGTTTCCCCTCTTCAAAAGCCCTCTCCTCCCTCCCGATTCGGGGACAGGGTCACTCTTCCCCATACCCTCTTCCCGGGGCTCGGGGGTTTTGGAGGGGAGGGGGGGGGTGCGAGGCCGTTTTGGGCTCAGGATGGTTCCAAGATGGCACCCGACGCCCAAAGGTAGCCTCAAGCTCAAGATACCTGGAGATGGTACATGATAGCCTCCGACAAACCTCCGAGAGGCCAAAAGACGACCACGATGTGGCTCCAAGTACCCTCGGAGATCCACCAAGGACCCCCCGTAGGCCAACACCGGCTCCCCGATCACCGAGTTGTCTGCTTCCGAGGTGGGGGGAGAATTGACCCAACCCCCCCTTTCTCCCTGGCATGGGACCAAGCTCGCCCCCCAAAACAGGTCCAAGGGCGCGGCGAGGTAACCCCAAGGGGGTCCTAAGAAGGCTCCAGAATCCTTCAAGGGGCTTTCACAACAATAGGCCCGAGCTGGCGACCGCCTCCTCCTCATCACGCATGTCTCCTCCTCTCCCCTGCCAAGGCGAGCCCACGACTGCTCCAAGAGCGCCCAAGAGCGACCCCGAGATGCAATAGCAAGACCGCGTGGGCTGCCCCGACGGGGAGGGCGCACATGTGCGCCGCCCCCTTGTTCAATCGATGGCCACCATGATGACCCCAAGAGGGACACCTCCTCCTCCTCCTCCCCCTCCTCCTCCGCCTCCTGCTTCTTACTGTGCCCCTGGGTTTTACGGTGCAGGCAAAGTTTGGCTGTCGCCAAGACCCCTGCCAGTCGCAAGACGCTGCCTCAGCCAGGGGCCACGTGCGAGCCCACCGCCATGGTTAGTCAGCAAGCTGAGGTCACCAAGAAGCGAACATGGCGCCAGCTCGACCAGTGAGGGTGAGGCTGTCCTTGCCGCTGCTGCTGCTGCTGCTGCCATGGGGTTTGGAGGCGGACGGGTATGTCTTCGAATGCGACGGCCATCGCCTCCACCGTGCTGGAAGTTTTTGTTTTTTGCGGGCTCTGTGGGGCCCGAGAGGCCATCGGGTCTACCCGAGTCGGGGCCCTCGAGGTCCCATGCCCTAGGAAGCCGCCCAAATCTGCCAGACGTCGCACGCGTAACTGGCTGGTCGAAGGAAGGCACCCAGTCACTGGCGAGAAGCAGTCCTCCAGGGAAGGGGGTGCTGTACTGGGCAGGCGAGGCACTGTACCTCGGGGAGGTGCCCGTGCCACGTCCCCAGCATCTGCCCCTGCAAGCTCACCCGTCGACGTGCAGGAGTGTGGCAGGAGGGAGCTTGAGGCTGTCGTAGACTCGCCCAGCGAAGGGGGGAGAACACTTGCACTCTAGTCGCTGCCTCTGCTGCCCAGGGGAGCTTGTCTCGCCTATCCTCTTTCTGGAATAGTCCGGGTTCTGTTTTCGGACGGCTTCCTGCTCTATGCTCGCTCGCTTGCTCCTCCTCCCCCCCTCTCTCCATCCACCTTCTTCTCATCCACATTCTCCTCCACATCCTCCTGACCATTGATTATCATTATTTCCACCACCCCTCTCCTCCAACCCCCTCTCGGAGGGATGCTGCCCTGAGCGCCACACGCCGCGCCATCCTCGCTGCTCGTTTTCCCCCCTCGCCCTTGCCTTCCTCCATCCTCCTCCCTTCTCCTCCTCCTCCTCCTCCTCCTCCTCCTCCTCCTCCTCATCATCATCAACATCATCATCACCACAATCATCAGCATCAGCATCAGCAACAGCATCAGCATCAGTATCAGCATCAACATCAGCATCAGCATCAAGATCATCATCAACATCACCATCATCAATATCATCAACTTCATCATCACACGCCCTTCTCGCTCGAACGGAATACACACCACGTCAACATATCTCCGAACGCTCCCCCCACGCGGCCGCTGTGGTTATTTGGAATGTTGTGTTGTCCACTCATGGCCCTATCGCCGATTCGCATCATTACTCATGTTTCTCCGCCTCCTCCTCCTCCTCCTCCCCTTCCCTGCTCGTTATGTTCCTCGTGCTGCATTCCCACCATTCCCGTTGCCTCCCCCGCCTCGGTGTTGCCTTGTGCCTCGTCCACAACTTCCTCTTCGTCGCCCTTCTGTTGCCTGCTGCTTGTCCCTCGTCGTGCTCTCCCTCGTTTCCCTCTTCCCCTTCGTTTTCTCATCCCCGTCGACGCCCTCATGCTTCCCATTCTGATCCCCCACAGCCTCCACCGCCACATCCTCCTATCAAATTCGTCCCCCCCTCCCTCCGCCCTTCTCAATGCCTTCACCGTCTACAACCTCATCATCATGTGCATCCTCCTCCACTCCACCTCCTCCGGCGCCTCCTCATATACCTCCTCTTCCTCCTCCAACTCCTTGTGATATTCCTCCTCCTCATCGTTCTTCTCCCCCCCCCTTTTCCTTTCATCCTCGTGGAAGCTCTGGGCACTGAGGAAGCCAGAAGCGGCTCCAGGAAGATTTGGGGACTTCGAGGAGATCCAAGGGTCCCCATGGTACACCGTGAGCCCCAAAAGTCCTGTGGGGCCAAACCACGCGCCAGAATAAAAAACGATTTTGGATACTATACAAAACGCGTTCGTTTTGCAATGATCTGTCTCCAGACATCGCCTCGCTCGGGCTGGTGTGCACATAAGAACCGTTGGCTCGCGCGTGCTGTCCTACAAAACGCCAAGAACCACCGCGCGGACACGTTCTCCAAACGGTCGGGAACAAAATGCCGACGCTGCAACCTCTGCCCGGCACAGAGGCCGCAGGTTGCCAATGCGTTCCTCGATTGCAGCCACAGCATCCGCACTGAACTCCGCAGGTGGGCCCTGCGCGATGTGAGGCAACAACGGCCGGCGTGCGGCACCTGGGTATCAAACGCCATACCGCCGTTGCGCGCCCAAACGACACATGCGGGGAAGCCAGGCACCCAAACGGCGCGTAGGCAAGGCAAATGACTCTTATCATTACGCTCCGGAGAATGTGCGAAAAAAAGGGGCGAGGACGCGAGCAGGGAAGAGAAGAAACGGACACAATCATAATGCATATGGGACAACGCATGTTGCCCACTGTAACTTCGGGCGTCCGCGTTTGCGCTTGCGGTGCCAGTGCCTTGGTGTGTTCAGGCTCACACACGAGGTCACGCAGGATACAACCTATATGCAATCAGAATCGCCATATGCAAATTCCAGCAATGCACAGCGCAAGATTCGACAATCCTGGCGCGTTGAGACCGCGGGATTACGATCAACTCATTTGCAACAGCAGCCACACATACCGCCTGCAGAGCAAATCAAGACGAGGTCACACTCTGCCCCAAGAGATTCACTACATCCTTCCGACTTGTCCCGCTAATCCGTTTACAGGCTCAGCCTACGTCAGAGCGATCACGGGAAATTGAAACTGCGCGACGCACCTGGCTGGCAGACCCCGCGGCCCCCAAGCGCACCAGCGTCTGGCATGAATGACACATTCCAAGAGATGATGTGTTTCCCCTGGCCAGCATGCTCGGGACACTCTGCTCGAAGGGTCACCAAGACCACCACGACCACGTTCACAAGTGAGGGGCACATCTTGGAACGCGAGCGCGCGACGACCGAATTCGATTATCGCTGGCGGCCACTCGTCTTTACATCGCAACGCGTAGAAGCATTTCAACCACTGCGCTCCCCACCTCAATCCCACGTGAAAAAAAGTGTTTGCTGGCGCCGCCTGCGCGGGCGCAGCATGCCGATGTTCTGCTTGAGCTGTGATGGAAAATCCAGACAATTTCCCGCACGCGGTGGTCACGATCCAATCATCGCGCCCTGGGCGCTGTTGCCGTGGCGCGGAGTTCCGCACATTCGCTAATGCCAATTCCCATATTCCAGAACGTACCTGCGTTACATCAACATTCGCGGATCATCGGTCGAACTGCCCCCCATATTAAACACTTTGTGCCCTGCATTGTACTTCAGCTTCACGTGGGGTGCCAGCCGAAACGCCGCACTATCCAACCCTTGTCTTGTTGGTCAGCTAGGGGCCAGGTGCGCCAAAAGAGCCAGCGATCAGTCCAGGCCATCGGCGCGAATGCAACCAACGTCGAGTCAAGTATACGCGTGCTCTGAATCGAATTGGCGTCAGACACGCGCGCGATGAATGGTCCCTTTTCCCAAGAACCCATGGAACAAAAGGTCGTCCGCGGCATCCCCTGCGCGCGATACTCCACCGAGTTACCGCATCCATGCGTTCGACTACAGCTCTGTTCAGGACCCTCGCCCCGTCGGCGGGGCGACAATTGCAGCGCGACGCGCCTGTGCCATTGAAACCCAGCCCCGGAGAACACATGCTGATCGGCTCTGACATGCATGTCCACCGCTGCACATATAGTGCCCGGTGCCAAAACGAACGCGCTGTCTACCCAAATCTTACCAGCAACCCGGCGTCCGCGGGAAGCGCTCCGCTGGAACAGCGCAGAAACGCGCGCGCCACTCCCGG